GGGCATTTAGAAATGAGAGAATAATTGTTATGACATGGAATTATACATCAGGATATAATAGAGCTGATCTTTAAATGGAGTCTTCTACACGTGTGTATCAAAGCAGTGATCACTGACTTGAACTGGGAATTCAGGAATCTACTGAGCCCCGTGGTAACAACAGCCTGAGCACCTAAAGGAGCCTCTTTATCCTGCTTTCCCTACACCCGGTACACGGGTTGCAATACTTACTATTAACTCACTCAGACTAAGAACATTTATAGATATTAAACTAAACTATATGCAATAGAAAGTGGGCAAATTAACTTAAAAAGCACACAAAGAGATATCAGTTCTTACATTTTTAAATATTGTTCTCCATTTCATGGACTCCCTTTAGTGAAAAAGCTGTAACCTTTGCAATTCCTTTTTAAAATCAGTGTGGATAAACTTTCAGTTCTGGGAATCATTAGGGAAAGGAGGGTGTTTTTATATAAACACATGGGTCATATATCCAAGGACTACAGTCTTTCTCTAAGACTCACACTCTTAGTGTTAGTATTTCTGCTACGTAAATACATACATTACCTCTTACATTCTCAAATGGTGTTGTCCTTCAAATGATAGCATCATACCATGATAGTAGTGTAATTTAGTAACAGCCAGTGACATATCACAGTTAAAAATGGGTCAGACCAAAGGTTCCTAGCCTGTATTTAGAGGTATTGAATGGTAGGAGAAAGGATGTGTAAGGAAATCTATCCTTCATGTTATATAACTCTTCCAGGCCAGAACCACACTGATTCAGAGAGTTTTCACATGATACTACACTCATCCACACACTGATGGTAAAGTTTAGTCTTCCCGGAATGGGATTTTCTTAGTTGGATTCTACATGATACGGCATTAGAAACACAATGGTCACCTTTATTTTGTTTAGAACATTGTGACATGCCCATATTTGAGAATGCCATAGCCACAATCACTGGAAAACCATTTCGACTCAATGACACGTTGGACTACCAATGCCTGGATGGCTATGAAAACAGAGATGGAAGCACCAATGGTTCCATGGTGTGTGGTGAGGACGGCTGGCTCCACTTGCCAACCTGCTTTAGTAAGTATTTTGATTCCAGCATTTCCTTTTCCAAGAGCTGAAAAGTCTACATGTATGTTGTCCTTGCATGAGTGTGGGGATCTAGGGCATTTTGGACCACATGGTGGTTACCAGGTTTAAAATGCAAAAGAGGGACAATAATTCTTGTGCAGCTTTACATGAATAGTTTCCAACAAAACTACAATTTGTTCTTCAACATTTAAAATGTTCTTTTTCAGAATCTTCAGACAAGTGTGGGCCTCCTCCAGCGATTAACTATGGAGACATCACCTCCGTCCTATTGGAAGGGTACCTTCCAGGATCAAGAGTGCAATACCAATGCCAGGACTACTATGAACTCCGGGGTCCTCAATATGTAACCTGTAGTAATGCAAAGTGGTCCGAACCCCCGAGATGCATAGGTAAGTTCTCAAGATTCTTCTGGATCCTGAGACCATGAGGGTGATGTTGATGAGCTCGCGTGCGGTCTACTATTCATGCAGTCAGAGTCTAGAACTGTGCTCACCAACAGCTCTCCTGCTGAATATTTCACATCGGAGACTCATATGTAGGGCTATGAGCTTGGAGAATCCCTATGTGAACAATGATAAAGGTCCTTTAAACAGGAACATTCGAAGAGGCTGAATCTGATACATTAGCTGATCCCACTGTGGACCCCACCTGACTCATCCTCTCCTGTGTATGTGTCCCCTTCTGCGGGAGATCACAGCAAACCCAGTAAGTCCAGGACCTGAAATCAAAGTTAATATACCCAAGTCAGAATAGTCTAGAAATAGCTCCAAACTAGGTTATATAGAAAGGAAAATATTAAATTTCAAAAAAAATTCTAAATCTGAAGTTGAAATGATTGAGTAGATGGACAAGTCTAACACATGTCTCCCTGCACAAGCAAGACCTGCTCCCACAACCTTGAATAGAAAGCAGTCTTCATTACCTGTGGACATCAAATCAGTTCGGTTAAGGAGTTAAGACTTTATTTGAGTCTTGGAATTGAAATACGCAGAGAGCATTTAAGATCATCAAAGGCAACCTCCAACATCTTGTAAAAAATTACACAGACATATGGTCTATTAAAGCAAGGAGGTAAATTTTGCTTGGAGTAGTAAAGTTAGAAAGGGAAGATCAGAAAAAGTATTTTGGCAGGTGTGTGGCATTTACATAGTATATACTTCTGAATGTACTGGGAAACATTTCAAAACTTTTGGATATGAGGAGTCATATGTGTTATTCTATCATGTTTCATCATATAATAGTTAATGGGATGTGTTGGAACAGAACTTTCAGCTATGTCTAAAGCCTTATCAATGACAGTGATGGCTAAACTAGAATATAAAATACTTGCATCAAGAGAAGAGAAATAGGAGTCCATGATATCTTCAAATTTTGACATAAGAAGAGTTGAAATACTGCCATTTGCAACAACATGGATGGACCTTGAGAATATCATGCTAAGTGAAATAAGTCAGACAGAAAATATATGAACCATTGATTTCACTTATATGTGGGATATCAAATTGAAACAAACAATGAACAAACAATAAAAAGAAACAAAATCTCACAGACAAAGACCACACTGTAGTGGTTACCAGTAGTGCCCAGTGGGTGGGGCAGCAGTAGAGGATTAAAGAGGGTCAGATACATGGCAATGAAAGATGATTTGATTTTGGGTGATGGGCACACAATGCAGTATACAGGTAATGTTTCATAGAATTAAACATTTAAAGCCTATATAATATTATTCACCAATATCACTCCATAAATATAATTTTTTTAAAAGCAAATTAAAATTTTTAGCATGTATAAAGTTCTACAATGTAAGAACAGTTTGCCCATAGGAAAAAAAATCTGAAACTTTATTACAATACTAGAGGCCTGGTGCAGGAAAATTCATGCACTTGGGGGTGGGGTCCTTCAGCCCAGCCTGCACCCTCTCGGGGGCATGTCCACCTGCTGGCTTAGGCCCGCTCTCAGGGGATCAGGCCTAAGCTGGCAGTCAGACATCCCTCTGGCAGCCCGGGAGCCTTTGGGGGATGAGCGACTGATGGCTTAGGCCCGCTGCCCACAGGGATTGGGCCTAAGCCACAGTCCGACATCCACAGCACTGCCAAGGAGGCAGAAGAGGCTCCCACCACCACTGCTGCGCTCGCAGCCATCACCCTGGCTTGTGGCTGAGCGGAGCTCCCTCTGTGGGATTGCACTGACCACTGGGGGGCAGCTCCTGTGACAGGGTCATTCCCAGTCCTTCTGCCATTAGGGTCAATTTGCATAATACCCTTTTATTATATACTAGAGGCCCAGTGCACAAATTCATGCACCATAGGGGTCCTTTAGCCTTGCATGTGGGATCGGGCCAAAACTGGTTCTCTGACATCTCCTGAGGGGTCCTAGATTGCAAGAGGGTACAGGCCAGGCCGAGAGACCCCACTGGTGCACAATTGGCGCTGGGGAGGGATTCAGGAGGTTGGCCAGTCAGGGAGGGACTGAGGGAGGGCTCCAGGATGTGTCCGACCCGTCTCGCTCAGTCCTGATCGGCCAGACCACAGCAGCAAGCTAACCTACACTGACCACCAGGGGGTAGGGGTGTCTGCCCCCTGGTAGTCAGTGTACATCATAGCGAGCGGTTGAACGGCCTTAGCTTTGATTAGCATATTACGCTTTGATTGTTTGAACCGACAAACAGACGACCAGACACTTAGCATATTAGGCTTTTATTACATAGGAGGATATGAATGTTGCATACAGTCACATTGCAGAAGCAATAGACTTGGCCCACAATGATGTACATTTGCTCTTTCCTTATTTCATCCTCTAAGCTAGTCATTGGGTTGAAGGTTAATTTGTTCATAAAAGGAAAGATCACTAATTGTTTTTATTTATTTCTTCAATTTTCAGTTCCATGTGTAATATCAGAAATAATCATGAATGAAAAGAACATACAGATAAAAGGGAAAAATGACAAAACCTATTATGCAAAAACAGGGGATATCATCGACTTTATGTGCAAATCGGGACGCAAGGCGGTGACGTCAAAGGAGTCATTTCAAGTCATGTGTCTCGAAGGGACAGTGGAGTTCCCCAGGTGTGAATGAGGAAGCCCCGTGGCCCCAAATATGTGGCCAGTCCTACCTACTGCTCTTTGCCTCAAAGCCTGCCAGTCTTCTGGCATTTCCTGCTCTTTTCCACTGTATTTCAAAGGGCATAAAAGCAATATGTTAGCCTCCTTTTCAACTTAATCTTTTCCCAAAGTTGTTAACTCAACTATATCATTGCTTATACTTGTACCAAAAAAATAATTCTTCACTATCATGAGATTAGAATATTTGGCAATTGAGCAATAAACAGCAATGGACATAACAATGTGGCATTCTGCATATTCAATCAGATGTTCAACCAGTCAAACAAAATATGTAAGCTTAGAAGATACTGTAGGAAATCCTATATAATAAAGAGATAATATGCAAATTAACCATCACTCCAACACACAAGATGGCCGCCCCTATGTGGTCAAAGATGGCCAACCTCTGTGGACACAAGATGGCCTCCACAAGATGGCCAGCAGGGGAGGGAAGTTGTGGGCGATCAGGCCAGCAGGGGAGAGCAGTTAGGGGCAACCAGGCTCAGCAGGGGAGGGCAGTTATGGGAAACCAGGCCTATAGGGGAGGACAGTTAGGGGCCACCAGGCTGGCAACGGATAGCAGTTAGGGGTGACCAGGCCAGCAGGGGAGGGCAGTTGGGGGTGACCAGGCCTGCAGGGGAGGGCAGATAGGGGCGACCAGGCTGGCAAGGGAGAGAAGTAAGGGGTGACCGGGCCTGCAGGGGAGGGCTGATTGGGGCAATTGGGCTGGTAGGGGAGCAGTTAAGCATTGATCAGGCTGGCAGGGGAGTGGTTAGCTGGTAATCAGGCTGGCAGGCAGAAGCAGTTAGGGGCAATCAGGCAGGCAGGCAGGTGAGTGGTTGGGAGCCAGCAGTCTTGGATTGTGAGAGGGACGTTTGGCTGCCCTCTAAATGGGCAGTCAGACATCCTTCGAGGGGTCCCAGATTGGAGAGGGTGCAGGCTAGGCTGAGGGTCACACTCCCCCTGTGCATGAATTTTGTGCACCAGGCCTCTAGTAGTACAATAAAAAGTTATGTGTTAAAATTGCCCTTTCACCCTAACTGGTTTGACTCAGTGGATAGAGCGTTGGCCTGCAATCTGAGGGGTCCTGGGTTCGATTCCGGTCAAGGGCACATGCCTGGGTTGTGGCCTTAATCCCCAATGGGGACTTGCAGGAGCAACCGATCAATAATTCTCTTACATCATTGATGTTTGGATCTCTCTCTCCCTCTCCCTTCCTTTTTGAAATCAATAAAAATATTAAAAAATAAAATCACCCTTTCTGGTGTGGTTCAGTGGTCACAGAATTGGCCTGCAGGCCAAAAGATCTAGGGTTAGATTCCTGGTCAAGGGTATGTTCCTGGGTTGCAGGTTTGATCACTATCCCAGTTCAAGGATGTGCAAGATGCAAGCAATTGATGTGTCTCTCTCACATCAATATTCTCTCTCTCTTTCTCTCTCTCTCTCTCTCTCTCTCTCTCTCTCTCTCTCTCTCTCTCTCTCTCTTTCTTTCCTCCCCACTTTCCTACATTCTCTAACTGGAGTCAGAGGTGAATCTTGGACTGAAGAAGACTTGTTGTGAGGAAGAAAGGCAATTCTCATTGTTTCCACCTGTAGGGTTTGAACTGTTTGACAGAGTCGAAGCTTTGTTCTTCTATTTGACAAAAATAATCAGTTATTTTAAAGCTACAAATCTTAACTAATCTTGTCAATGAACAATTTCCCTGATCCTAAGTCAATATGGGAACTGAATTTCTGTTTTCTCATAACCCATTGTGAAAGCGCATGAAAACAAATTTAAGTCTCGTCCAATTGAAGCTCTGTGATAACTAGTCTTCAATCAGTATTTCAGCAGAAGTTTATTAGCCAAACTAGTTCTCTGTTTGGATTAGACTTTACACTTCCCATTTGCTCCATGGCGTGCCTCTGAATATGTTGTACCCTGAAAGAAAAGGTGCCTAGACTGGCCAGTGTGGCTCCATTGGTTAGATTTTGTCCCATGCACCAAGAGTTCATAGGTTCATTCCAGCTGAGGGCACATGCCACTGTTTTAACAGCACCATTTACTTTCATGGAGATGATGAGAGTAGGGAATTACAACTTATCTATGGATTTATGCCCACTTCTTTGGTCTCTTCAATTGATCCCTGGTAGGGGGTGTGCAGGAGGCGGCAGGTAGATGTTTCTATGTCCTTGTAGATGTTTCTGTCTCTCCCTCTGCCTCCTTCTCTCTCTACAGGGAAATAAAACATGTGGAAAATATTGAATGTGAAGAATGTGCTGAAATTCTTGGACTTGGTGGTGTGGTCAGTTGTGCGTTTACAAAAAAACAGTGCTGTCCTACAGACAGGAACGTACACTGTGTGAACACACTGGGTGGTGTCCATAGACCCCTAAGGACTGCAGTCGGGTGAGAGCAACGAGAGGAGGAGAGACCGTCACAGGGACATGCAGTCAGAGCTACTCCCAAGTGAATCTCCTGGTTAAGAAAGAACCACACCCATCCTCAAGAAGGTTTCACTTAAAGAAAATTGTTTTGTATCACTTTTGGATCCAGTTTATAACTTTTCTAAGGAAATTTGTACAAGTACATGTCAGGGAATGAAGTCAAGAAATGATTCACTGTGAAATCACTCACGAAAATTTACAGATATTCCAAAACTCTGAAATTTGATATCTACCAAGTGACCTCATCAACTAGCATCCATCCTGCTATTTCACTTAAATCCGAGGTCTCACTCACACTTGGTAAGGGCTCATTTGAAACCCCAAACAGCAGCGCTGGACGATCTGTGCTAACACACCCGGGGAGCCCCACCATGCAGTTACTAGTCAAGGTCATCCTCACCCTGTGGGTCTCCTGGGCTCGTGGACAAGGTGAGTTGAAACTGATGGGAATATTTAGCTCCTTCTTAAGTAGCATTTGACCTTTATCATGTGTCTTTAAGGTGTTTTTTTTAATCCTCACATGAAGATTGATCTTTCAATCCTCTCTCCGTGATCTTTAGAGTGAGAGAGGACAGCAGGGAGAAGGGAGAGAACGAGAGAGAGAAAAGAGTAGAAGGAGAGGGAGAAAGAAAGAGAAAAAAGGGGAGAGGGAGAGATAGAAAGACAGAGGAAAAAAGGTAAAGGGAGAGGCAGAGAGAGAGAAAAAATGGTAGAGGGAGAGGCAGAGAGAGACATCAATGTGATTAAATAACCATTATGTAGATAATGATTTCATGTTTGTATATATTGTGAAATGATCAGAAAACAAGTGTTATTCACATCATCTGAAGATTATAATTTTTCTTGTCCTAGAAAGCCTAATGCAATGAGTGTAATTAGGTGCATATGAGAATATAATTCATCAATGAAACAATGTATCTCTCATTACATTTTTATTAAGGCAAAACATTACTTGTACTGTGTTTTGTTTGTTTTAATTGCTAGTAAATCCCTGTGAATTTCCAAAATTAAAGCATGGACTCCTATACAAGGAAGACACATATAGATCATACTTCCCAGCACCGATAAAACAATGGTTTTACTATTCCTGCGATCAAAACTATGTGACTCCTCCTGAAACTGTCTGGCATTACATTACTTGCACACAAGATGGATGGACCCCGGAAGTGCCCTGCCTCAGTGAGTGAACCTCTCTGTGCTGTGCATGTAGCAATAGTTCAGAGTTCAGAGAGCAAACATGAGCACCGCTAAGTCT